CCAGCTCCACCTTCTATGGCTCCAATTCTGATAACTCAGATCTATGTGTTCTAGTCTCTCTTGCTGATCCCAGATCCATTTCACCTGCCTATCAGAAAACTACACTTGAATTCCCCACAGGCAACATAATTTCCCCAGGTTTCAGAAGGAACTCCTCCTCTAAGTTCATTTGTCTCATTCATAGTAACAATGAAACTTGCCTACAATCCCCTCACATTCATATTATCTCAATTTACTCCTCCAATAGTCCCTACTGACATTTCAACACATGTAACTCGTTTCCACCAGACCAGGTGAAAGCATCCTTTCAGAAGCCAGCACAGAGGTCCTTTAAACTTCCTAATTGTATCTTAGACAACTGTTCTCTAGCCCACTCCTATAAGGTACTGGCTCTGTCATAGTTCAATTTTTGTTCTTCCTTTCTTAGATTTGTATAAAAACCTCTCTAAATTAGTCTTGCTGCTACTGGTCTTTTTTTTTTTTTAACTAATTCATCTTTTACATTGCTTACAGAAGGATTATCTTTCTGAAAATCAACCATGTCTCTACTCTTTTAAGGTCTCTCTGCCTATGGCTAAAATAATTCAAACTCCCAATAAAGCACATGTGCCATTTCAATCTCTCCATCAGCCTCTCCTACTTTAAGCATTTGTAAGACACCATACCTTTTTATGTCTTCAGTACTTTGCCTCTCTGCCTGCAATTGCTTTTCTTTTTACTCACCTTAAATTTCTATGCACTCTTGAAAACTTAACTCAAATATCCCCTCTGCTATGAATTTTTCTCTAATTCCCCCAGTTAACTGTCCATTCCTGTGATTCTTGACATCACTAAACACATCTCAGGCTAACATTTATCAGGTCACACTTAACTAGGACACGCATCCTACATACATTATGCTATGCAGCATGCTACAGATTATTCTTTTTTTAAATCAAATAGTTGTGTAATGTTTAAAAACCGTTCCTGCCTAGACACGGGGCTAATTTGTAGCAGTGATTTATTATCTTCTTTACATTGGTTTTATTTACCTGTCAGTCCCCACCTCATCCCTAACTCCTTCTGTGCCCAGGGCATGCTACTTAGTATTTGCCCAGAGTTAATAATAAATGTTAATTTCCTGTTCTTTGGCTGAATCAATTCCAATGTTTAATGAGATAAAGTTCTATAGCCAGATTCACTTCATATCCAGCTAATTCTTCACATGGAAGCTGAAGTCACTGAAAGCTGTTTATAATGTGCTACCTATTACCTACTTTTCCTGAAATAAGAATAATTGATACTCTGAACTTTAGATATTTTTCCAGAAATATTTCTGGTTTTCTCAAATGTTCCAATCAATAGATTTGACTCTGGACTTTTCTTATAGCTAAGAAAAGAACAATACTATAAACAAGAAGTCACAAAATTTTTTCTAAGATCCATTTTCTCTGACAGTTAAATTTGCTTTTTGATGTGACTATGTTAAGATGGCAGAACTTTCCAAACCTAAAATATGTCAGGGTTTAAAAATCAACTAATAATCTCATATAGAAAAATAAATATAACATATTATTAATATTCTGCTTTACTTGTACAGTGTTCAATGTGGTTTTACATATAAAATTTTATCTTAGAATAAGATCAAGTCCCTTCCAACTCCATAGTCAAAATTCTGAAATAATTCAGCCTAGTTGTATGAAAGGGCAGAAATAAACTTATTAATGAAATCTGATTAAAACAAACCAATATCCCAAAGATCATGGATTACCTCCTCACACACACTAGTTCTACTACAGAGATCAGTCTTCAAACATTGTACAATTAGCATGCTTTAATGTAAAATAAAGATTTGTATGCAAAAATGTACAAGACCCTGCCAGGCACTGGTGGCTCACGACTATAATCTTAACTACTAGAAGGCAGAGATTAGGAGGATCGAGGTTTGAAGTCAGCCAGGCAAATAGTTCATGAGACCTTATCTAGAAAAAAACCCATCACACAAAAAAAGAAGGGCTGGTGGAGTGGCTCAAGTGGTAGAAGTTCAAAAAGAAGAGTTCAAACCCCAGTGGTGCAAAAAACAAAGAAAAAAAAACTAGACCATTCTGAAATAATATATTTAGTAATGTCTACTTTACTATCTGCTATATTACAATGAATCAGTCAACAAATGTCAGTTTCCTTCCTTGTTTATCCATGTATCTCCTCAATGAAGCATGCCCCACAATATTACAGCATTAGGTGTAGGTATTGGGGTTAAGGCTTTTTTTTGAGTCTGTAGAAATTGTTTACATACCATATTCCATATACTGTTCCCTTTCTTAAGAGATGCCTTGGGTGAGAGAAAACACATGAAATGTTAGCCATGTTCATTTGTATATAAAAAAAAAAACTCTTTAGATACAGCTGAATGTTGGAAGGAGGGCAATGCTGGAATCATTTCAGCATGACCTGAGATTAGATACATAGCTGCCACCACCCCCTACTGGGTTCTACAATTAATCTTATGTGATTAAATAAAAACTACATCAGTTCCAAAATTTTCTAGCAAAAGGAAACGTAATACACCTTTAGATAAAAATAATTAATCTGCAAAATTTGATCTGAAAATAATTCCAAATACAATTTCCAAGTTCAATTGAAATCTCTTCAGATATAAACAGAAAGGCTACAAATAGATGTACATAGAGAGGACACATGGTGACAGCCATTTTTTTCCTGTACCATACCACAGTGGATAATTTCAGATGAGCATCAAAGTTTCTGTGGTAGGACTAGCTCTTACTGTGATTGCATATGACTTTTTCTTTGGAGTATCTTACATTGCCTTACTATGTGGGCACTGGTGCACCAAGGTTAAAGATGAGTGTTCCTAAGTGCTTCTTTATAGTATTTATGTGAGGAGAAAAACTTACTATGTCATATTTTATTCTGAAGGTTTCACAAATGACACCATGCAGTGGATATACTGCAGTGATTAGAGTGGGACCAGTCCTGAATAGTTAATGCAATAACAATGGACTGTTTTACTCAAGGCCTGCTTGTTTCTTACCTGTATAACTGTTACTCATCAAAGTATGTTTTTATATACATCAGGAATTCTTCAAAAGTAGTATTTTTCTCTACAGAGTTCAAAATTCCAGCTAAATGAGGTGATCTATAACTTGTTTTTAGAGATGAACAGCTATGTGATATGCAGTCTGCACACTCCTGGGGGTCTGATTAGCAGATGAGGTCTAAAAATACCTGCTATAATACTTCAAACTTCATGAATTTAGCTACCCATTCAAAGAATAGGCCAGTTTAGAAAGACCAAGCCTTTAGGAAAGTTCAAATACATACCTAATTTTTCCAGCATCTTTAGAAAGTGATTGAGGCGAAATTCAGGAGGGATAAGAGTGATGTGTAGTCTAAATAATTTCTCATTCCTTTATACTGACATTTGTGTAATGACCTAGATTAAAATCTGGGCTCAAAAGTGACATTTTAAGTTGTGTTTCAAAGAAAAATTTAAATGGAGAACAGCACATTTCTATGCTGGGGTATATATGTATATGAAGGATTTTGTTCTCCATATTCTTATATCAGCAATCTATAAAGTTGCATTTACATTGGTCTTTTAAAAAATGGATACCTTATTCTTTTAAAAAAAAAAGCTACAAACAACCTCTTTGATGATAAATATATGGACTATAAAACATAAAGTACAAGGAAGATGAGAAATAAGAAAAAGGCAAAGGGCAACTGGAGGGGGACCCAGCTACCCCTCCCACCCTACCCTTTGCTCCAACACAATGTAACCTACACTGAGGTCATACTGTTAAAAAAAAATGCTGAAAAGAAGACTGTAACTACAGAAGAAGACTACTATAATCGAATTAAACTTATACAACTTCATAAAAGGAGACATATAATTTGAACTATTAAGTATGAATTATATTTTAAAAGACAGTTTTCAATTTAAGTAGATATTCTCATCTTTCTGGAAATGCACCACCATCTAAAATTCACATTGATGAAAAGTCCCTTTACAAAACACTTCTTGATTTTGGAAAATAAACTAAGATGGTTTAGCTAGAATACCAATTAAGTGTTTTCTTGCATGATTGATGTGAGGAAAAAATCTTAGTATGTCATTTTGCTCTGGTGGTTTCACAAATGACACCATTCAATGGGTAATGATTACATGAAAAATACAGAATTGCAAAATGAAATTAAATTCATCTAGAAAAGATACCTTACTGAAATAATTCATTTTCACTTTGAATCTAATTTTACTGACTCATTTAAACAAAGGAACTGCTCGTACATACTACTTCTAAAAGATTTCTAGTATGATTAGTACGGAAAAATATATTAAAGGTATAAAAGCATATAATAATGTAAAATACAAAGTAAAACAAAAATCTTCTACTTCAGCTCAACTGCACAGCTTTTCAAGAAACTTTGTTGTAGTTTTCTTTAAATAACAGAAGGACTTTGAAACATTGCAGCATAATTAAAGAATATCAAGCTATACAATAAACAGAAAACCTGTAACATATGGCATGAGTGTAATTTTCAATGAGTTTTTGAAATGTATTGAAGTCACAGAAGCAGACTATGCTAGATAATATTTGAGGTTCACAGAACTCCTGACATAAAACTTTTCTAAAAAATAATAAATCAAGAAGAATATTCAGTCTTTTTAAGAAGAGAATTAAAATACACAATAAAACTTCAAAGACACAAATTTTCATTTATAATGGATTCAAATTATTCTAAAATAATAAAAAAAAACTTTAGGTGAGACCAAGTAACAAAAGAATTACTGAGAATGTAAAAATGTTCTGCTTTGTGAAATCAGCTTTGTTAATAATAAATTTTAATTGCATAATAATCTTACTTATTTTGTAGATTTAAGCAAAAGAATGTGAACTTAGGTCTACATTTTGATGAGCAAATTAAGTTTTTTTAATTTGTAAATTTCAATTAAAGATTAGGTGATGAAAAAAGTTAAAAGCTAAAACAACTTCGTTTTCGTTTTCCACAAACTCACATATTTTTACTTCATAATACAATATAACTGTCACATACAGTAGCTTGGTCAGGCTTAAATCCAATGGGCAAAGGAAGACTAAAGAAGGGTTTACACAATATTCAATAAGCAATAATACCTGCTGAATATGCAATAAAATAAAAAGGTACTAACCTAGAAACAAAGAAAAAGAATTATTGTTTTCATATTCCAGAAATAAAAGCAACATAATAGCATATAATCCTGCAATTTCTAAACTATAGTCTAAAACATTTAAGAAAAAAAACAATCTACACTTTTTTTCTATCAGGTATATATACCTGAGAAAGATACATAGAAAGAAATAGGCTTTAAAATTTTTAACCCCGAAGAGCCTTCTACCATGACATGAGGAAGATGAGCTATGCATGTGACAGACCCCAGGCCACTTCCCACAGAGAGTGTTCACTGCCCAGATGCAGGTTGTGAGTCATAAGCAACACAGTACTTCACATTAATACCAGCTTGTTCAGCCAAAGAAGCACAGTGATGTTTTAAGTTACCTGTTTATATTCATTAGTATGTAAAAATCACAGTACACAGATCTGGAAATGTTTAACTTGTCTATAAATAACAGTATATTATCTCAGCATAAGCTTTTAAAAGAGGTCTAAGCAGACAGCCCAGTAATGGGGATACCAACTCTGCATTTTGGTTAAAGTGAAGATTTGTTAAAAGTATAGTTGTTTTCATTGACAAAAACTAACACATAAGAACAAAATTTAAAACTTAAGTTCTGCTGGCAGTAAAATCATATCTATTGTAATATATCCAAGCAAAAAAAAATCAATTGGAGCTCAAATGCAATTTGTGCTTTGTTTCTATAAAAGTGTAGCATTACTCTCAGACATTTCTAAATGACCAGATTCATAAATAAGCAGTGAACTTCTTTTCATCACAGTTTATTTCTAATTCATCCTAAGTAGATTACTAATAGAACTAAATATTACTTAGCTTTTTTTCCAGTACTTTAACTATATGAATCAAGGTCTTATTTTAACAGTGATTTATTGTGATTCTTAAGGTAAACAACAAAAACAGGTTCTGAAATTAAGCATTTAAAATTTCAGATGACAGAGCCAGTAACTGATGACAGCTTCTTTAATTTCGTATTAATAGTCCAATTAAAAACACTAACAACTCCCTGGCAATAAACCTGAAAGAATCAGAACGGTTTTACGAAGGAAAAAAACAAAACCAAACATGCAAAATGCCCCCCAAAACACATGATCTTTCTCATTTTATAATCTAAACTTGTAAAATGTTTATAAATACATGATCATTCTACACAATACAGATCTTCTAGAGCATTTCTAAAGGAAATTACAGTTTTTGGTCTAGAGGAATAAGATTAAGATGGAAAGGGGTAAAAACAGTGAAGTCAGGGGAGCAGTATCTTTCTATACACAAGCAAGCTGCAGTTCATCCAATCAGTTGGTGGATACAGTTCAGTACATGATTTTCAAGGCAACTAAGAAATTGGGACACATTTATTTCCCCTTCCTAAAGTTAACAATTCTTTTAAAGGCTCTGAAATATCCATAAAGGAGTGTTGATTTTGTGGGGGGTTTTCTTCCAAAACGGAACAAAGAATAAATGGGTGGAGGGGTGGGGCTTCCACCTGCAAATTCACATACACAAATGAAGTTAAAACTGTAAGCTGGTTTTAAGTTCCCAGTGAAAGTGTTGTTGGCACCATCAGAAGCAGGTGCTATTCTCTATTCTACCTACATTGTTGAAAACATGATCCAGTAAAACAAATACACTTCATTATGCCTCAAACAAATAGAAAGCATTTCATTATTGTTCAAAGACCATGTTTAATTAACTAATAAGGTTAACAGACTTCTAGGATGTTGTACCTTACTGGTGTACCTGAATCAGTACTAGCAAAAGAATGTCAAATTCAAAACTGCTATGAAAGTAAAATCATCACAAGAAAAACTCAACCCTTATGTAAAAAGAGAAAGAGAAATGAGTGTGAAGTACTAACACCAAATGTCTCAAAGCAGAAGTTTCATTTGTGGAAGACAGAGTGAGGAGATAGGTGCACCTAGTCACGGCCAATTGGAAGACAGAACAGAATATGAAAAAATCAAGGTTAAAAAGGGTGGGGTGGTAGGAAAATGGAGAAGAGTCAGGCAGCAAAAGAATGACAGGATAGACAGAAAATAAGAGAAAATGAGGCATGTGCATATGGCTCTTTTTGTCAGTCTCCTGTGTTCCTAAATAGTTTACAATGTAAGTGCCATGTGGGCCACAACCAGCAGGCGAGAATGAGCCTTCCAATAGAAAGAGATGAAGGATTTGGGGCTAATGAATTCGTTTTTTCTTTTTTTCTTTTTGCTTTTAATTCATACCTGAAAGCCTTGAATCCTTGCTAAATATTCCAGTTGTTTTGAAGGTTGTACTGGAGAACAAGGGGGAGTAGGAGAACTTCCTTTTAAACCTATGGCTTCAGCTGTAGGAGATGTTCCATTCATGAGGAGTTCCCTGGCAATTGTGGCTGAACTATTCGATGTAGGAGATATACTGAAGAAAGAACTTGAAGGCTGGTTCATATCTTTGGGTGACAAATAGCTTAGAGTAGTACCAGAGATCACTTTGTGGCGGCTGGCTTCCATCTCTTGATAAACATCAGGAGACAGATGAAGAATTCCTTTTGGAGCTATAAATAAAATGAAGGAACACTGTTAATACACTTAAAATAACAGAAATAAAAACATATTGTAGCATGATTAACTCAATGACTCCCTTGCTGTAGTAACAAAGAAATGGTTCATACCCTGCAGGGGAAAGTGCGGCTTCTGTTCCCCGGTGAATAATGTATGTTTCAATATTCCTAAAATCAGAAGTTTAAAAAAATCTAATTTCAGTAGAACTTGTGTGTGGTAGGTAAGCTGTAGAAAGACAAGGGAAAGTGATGTGTGGAAGTTCAATAGTGGAAAACTTGAGAATGCACAATTCAATATTTTGTATCTCACAAAAGAAACCAGAAACATCCCCAAACATGCAGCCATAGAGGCACAGAAAGTAAAATGAAGGCAGCGTCAGTCCAAACTCCTCAGAGACACAAACCTCTATGTCCAGTAGCCTACTGGTCCTTTTCTCTTCATATGGACATCCCACATACAAGTCTAACTCACAAACACGTCAGAAAGGGTCAAGGCCTCTTCTTCCCCAAATTAATAGTCCCGATCTTGCTTACCTCTTTATGACACTGCCTTCATTCTGCCTACTGCCCTACCTATACTCCTGGCACAAATCTCTGATCACCCATAACCAAGTGGTTATCATGTCTACTCAAATGCCTCTAGAAATTGCCCTTCATCATCTAGTACATTTGTTCAAAGAAGGCTATGGACCGTTTCTAAAAGCAAAAGGAGTGAGGCTGGAGCTATATCACCAGATAGCCCAGGCTAGACCATTCTTTTCCTTAAAAGTCTTTTACACCAATAGTAAACTTCAAAGGATGAGGAGAATTATCCAAAGAGGACGAGAACTGAAGGCAGCTAGAGAGCATGGGCAAAGGAAGGGACTAGAAGAATTTGTGTCCCAAGAAACCTCAGGTGGTTCCTTACCACTAGGGCATGAAGGAATTGGGAGCTGCAAAAGGTGAGGTGGAGGAAGCAGGGGCCGAATCCCAGGGGACTTTATCCTGAAGGCATTAAAGCATAAGGAATTTTATGGTGTTTTAGGAGCTTAAGCAGGTTAAAATAATACATCAATTTTATGGAGTCTCTCTACACCTATGTGTTGGTTTTCAAGTTCTGTACATTATTAAGTGTTAGTCTTTATAATCGGAAAGAAATTTCAATTAAAAATTAAAGAAAACATATGCACTGGAGAAAATACAGGAAAATCTCACCAACTAGATGAACTTACTCTTAATACTTGCCTTAAAGATATGTTTTTAGACCTTTTTATCTACATACTTTTTAGTTATAACTTGAAAACAACTTAAAACACAAGAATTACAGGAATCCTGTTGTTGTTTACAAAACAATATACTTCTCTACTAATTTTAAAAGTATAATATTTCATTATATGATTTCACTATACTCCCAAGGGTTAGGAGTATAGCTCAGTGGTACAGCACTTGTCCAGCATGCATGAGGCCCTGGGTTTGAGCTCCAGAAACACACACACAAATTCCATATTATTGCACATCTACTATGTTTACAATTTTTGCAATTATAAACACAGTGATGAACATTCTTATAATTAAATCCTGTTTACATGAAAATTTATTTCCTTTAAGGGAAAGCAGAACTGCTGGTTCAAAAGATGCATTTTAGATATTCTGACACTGCCAAATTGCCCTCCAAAGAAGTTACACCAATTTCATACTCCAACAGAAATATGTGACAGTGCTTTGTTTTCTATTTTGGTACTAGATATTATAATTTTTTAAAATCTTCACACTGATAAAAGTAGGTCAGTGGTTGCTTAGGAATGGAGCTGGGAAGGAGTGACAGCAAAAGGGTATGAGGAAACTCTAGGGAAGACAGAAATGTTCACAGGTTTATAAACATGTCAAAACTGATATGTGCAATTTATTATACTTCAATTAAAACTGCAAAAATATTTCCCAATTTAACAAATTTAATATTACTAATTTTTCAGTATCTGCATGTGTATCATATCTAATTCTTAAATAAGAACTTACATGCTGTAACTCTAAATTTTTTAATCAATTTAAGAAATTTAATTACTTCAGCATTGTTATTACACAGCGGTAATATGCTTGCCAACAGCAATATTGTAAAGCAACAAAAATGCTCTCAACACTCAAGAGAGGCATTACATTGCAGAATAAGAATTCACACAGAGTTAGGTTCCTCTGTTACACAGCAATGCTTAAGTCAATGCTTCTTCGTGAGTAAGGAAGATTTTCCACAGAGCTCAACTAATAGGATACTCATGGACACAGTGTAAAGACACATGTGGGTTTATGGAATCTGCAATTTATGAATGATTTTCAACTTGAATATCAGTAACAGTATACAGATAGGTTAAAACCCATTTAGGTTCTTCGTGTTGTAAACCTGAGTTGCTTTTCAAATAGTATAAAGACCTAAATGTATAATGAGTAACTTAGGGTATGCACATTTAAGGACCTTTAACTTACTTTGCCATTAAGGTCTCCCAGAAAACTATACCAATTTATATTTCTTTTAGGAAGGCGTGACTAAAACCGTTTTTCCACACTTCTGCAAAACACATTTCAGATATTCTAAACAGTCATTGTTACTCTACAATAATTCATTGTTATCTTAATTCATTTTTATTTGATCATTGTTCTGGATAAGTTTTCTTTTATATAACCACTCTAGGTCTGTGCCTTTTCAAAACTCAGTATTGTTCACAAACTTGAAACACTGCATTTTCCCAACGGGATTTGTTATATCTCATTAAACCTCATCTCTTTTTCTGAAGAGGCCCTGAATCCATTCTCCTACCATCTATCTTTTGTTCCTGATCTTGCCTTTGATACTCCCACCTTGGACTGTAACCACTGTATGCAGGTACACTGCAGATACAATGCCAGAAATATTCTAGCACTTTACTTGTATTATCTTAATTCCCACAACCACGCTGTGAGATGGGTACTACCATTTCCTATATTAGAGATACAAATCTAGAAGTTTATTTTTAAGGTCAGTTTCAAAATCACCTTGGAAAGCAAAGCTAAAAAGAAACAGCAACATTTAAAAAGGAGTTATCACTGAACAAATGAATAAAATTATGTATTCTGATGTGTTCAAATGCATAACTTAAATCAGTGGTGAAGGAACCTTATTTTTTGTCCTTAGAGTTGGATGAAAGCACTAATTATAATAATTTGCATGTTTTGTTGGTCCTTTTTTGTTACATTTAAAATAATGGTGCATGTGAAGTTACTAATTTTTAATGTTATGAATAAAAGTACTGACAAAGAACTTTGTTGAGAACAGTAGTAAAAGAGAGAAGTTCTCAATCTGGCCCTGACCAATAGAGCAGAGCCCAGGTACAGAAGCCTGACAGGATACCATGAGAGAAGCAACATATCTCATAGAGACAGTCTCTGTGCAACGGTGAGGGTAAGATATAAAACTTGGCAAAAAACAGATTTTCCTTAAAAAACTAAGATCAGGGCTGGGGGTGTAGAGCTTAGTTGGTATAGCACTTTGTGTTTGCTGTTCAATCCCCAACACAAAGAAAAATAAATTAACAAAAACTAACAGCCATAAAAGGTTTTTCTGAATTTTTATAAAGATTAATTTGTGCTGGGCACTGGTGGCTCACACCTGTAATCTCAGCTACCCAGGAGGCAGAGTTCAAGAGGATCTTGGTTTGAACCCAGCCCAGGACTAGAGTAGTAGCTCAAGTGGTAAGAGTGTCTGCCTAGCAAGTATGAGGCCCTGAGTTCAAACCCCATGATGCCAAAAATAATGATGATAAATAAATGAAGATTAGTTTATAAAGAACTGAGAAATGCCTTTGGAAACCCTGTGCAAGTGAACATAAGCTTAGCCAGAGAAAGGGCTAATCAGAGCTTAGCCCCTTGAAATGTTATTCTTTATTTTAAAAGAGAAAAATGAGAAGTATATAATGACAAAAGATAAGAACCTGAGTTGGTAAATAAATTCACCATTAATCTTTTTATTTTTAAACTTTACACTAGTGCAATGATTTATACTCTTCCCAGAATTTTTCCTTAACAAGAATTCTGGTGCACAAAATGAGTAACATGAATCAAAGAATAGGTCTGGCAGAGGGTTAATAGGTTCCAGTGGTCCCTAAAGAGGGTCCAATGGGAATGGTAATACATATTATTCTGGGGAGACAATCTAAAGCTTGTATCAAAGTATGCAGGAATTGACACCACCCCACACACTTTAAACAGTCTCCACATGTTTCTATGATCATAAGCAGCTTTCAAATTGAAGACATAATTACAGGTTAAAGATGAGGAAAAAATTAGGCCAGGCATGGTGGCATACTCCTGTAACCAGCACTCGGGAAGCTGAGGCAAGAGAATTCAAGATTCAAGGTCAGTCTGGGCTACATAGTAAGAACTTGTCGCAATGCCAGGCACCAGTGGCTCACACCTGTAATCCCAGCTACTCAGGAGGCAGAGTCAGAAGGATCACAGTTCAAAACCAGCCTGGGCAAATAGTTCCACGAGACCTCATCTCAAAAAACCCTTCACAAAAATAGGGCTGGTACAGTGGCTCAAGGTGAAGGCCCTGAGTTCAAGCCTCAGTACCTCTAAATAAATAAATGAATAAATAAATAAATAAATAAATAAACAAACAAACAAACAAATAAAAGGATGAGTAAAAAGCTGTATGAGACAATCTATGGCAAGGGCATAATACCTCATTGTGTGACCTAGTTAGGGTATAGGCACCTAACTGGGGAGTTTACACATTCCCAAGAAATATAACTTTTTTTTTAAAGCTCAACATTTTTCAATAAAGACAAAGCTATGAATATTTCTACTGAGAAAGACTAAATGGTTACAGTGAAAATGAAGTTTGAGAGTAGCTTTAGTGAGAGGATAGTAAGTCATCCTCAATCACTGGTTTATTTAAATGAGCTAAAGATGTGGCTTATAACCGAGATCATCCTCATTTTTCTTCACAGAAAAACTGTTAATGACTATTATCATTATCATTTTTG